GACCCCTCTGTCGGGTTGTGGGGTGTGGGGTTGTGGTTGGGGTCTCGTGGTGACATCTTGGTGGGGTCTCCTGTGCTCGTCTCAGCTGCCGGGTCTGTCCCCTGTCCCCACCCCAAATCCATCCTGTGTCCCCATCCTGTGTCCTCATCCCCTGTCCCCATCCCCTGTCCCCATCCCAATGCCATCCCCTGTGTCCCCATCCCAATGCCATCCCCTGTCCCCATACCAGTGTCCCCATTCCAGTGTCCCCATCTCCTGTCCCCACCCCAATACCACACCCATACCACTGGTCACACAGTGTTGACACAGCCCCAACACCTGGTCTGGGGACACCCCAGGGGACACCAGGACACACCACAAGGTCCTGGTCACACCGTGGTGACACAGCTCCAACATCTGATCTGGGGACACCCCAGGGGACACCAGGACACACCACAAGGTCCTGGTCACACCGTGGTGACACAGCTCCAACACCTGATCTGGGGACACCCCAGGGGACATCATGGTCACTCCATGACACGCCACAAGGTCCCTGGTCGACACCAGGACACACCACAAGTCCCTGGTCACACCGTGGTGACACAGCCTCAACACATGGCCTGGGGACACCCTAGGGGACATCATGGTCACTCCATGACACGCCACAAGGTCCCTGGTCACACCAGGACACACCACAAAGCTCTGGTGGCACTGTGGTGACGCAGCCCTGACGCCTGTTCTGGGGACACCCCAGGACACCCCCCAGCTCCCCGGTGACACCGCGGTGGCCCTGTCCCCTGGCAGGTGACCTCCTGCCGGCCGACGGGGTCCTGATCCAGGGCAACGACCTCAAGATCGACGAGAGCGCCCTGACCGGGGAGAGCGACCACGTGCGCAAGTCCCCGGAGCAGGACCCGCTGCTGCTCTCGGGTGAGGGGCGCCGGGGTGGAAACCCCCGGCCACTTGGCTTTGAAATTTTAAATGTTTAATAGTGATAAAATAGTTATAAAATAATAATAATATAATTAGAATAATGAAATTTGTACATTTAGGACAATATGAGACAATAAAATGTGAGATGTCCTAATATGAGATTAGGACAATATGAGACAATAAAAACAAAGAGTTATGGACCTCCGGGTACCTTTTCTGGGTAAAATAAGCCCGAAAAAGGACCCAGTTAACAGAGAATTAACCCTTAAAAACAGTCGCCTGTTGCATATTCATACAGCTCATAGTGATGCATAAATTCCATTCAAACACAGGATTCTGCCTGGTCACTGTCAGCTTCTTCCTCTCAGTCCTGAGCGAGGTGGGAAGAAGTGAATTTTCTGCTGAAAAGGGAGCGATAAATTCCCTTTCTCTGAAAGATTCAGGTGTCCTGTGGCTCCTACCTGGAGTTCTTTCTGAAACAAATATCTTGCATTGCATCGTTTCTATTTTAACATTGTGTTGTAACCTAAAACTATATTTAGGAAAATTAATACAGCATAACTTTCTAACATACACGTACAATATTCATTTTAATACTTGCTAGGAAGGCAGGTGGGGCTGGGGTCCCCGGAGGAGGGACAGGGGCTGGGGACATGTCCTGAGGGGTGGGGACACTGCGGGCAGGCTGGGGACACTGCGGGCAGCTTGGGGGCACAGCCCCGAGGTGGCCCCAAGGACAAATCAGTGCCCCAGGTCAAACTGAGTGTGCAGATCGGGGTCCCCAAATGGTGTGGCAGGGGACTGGGGACACTGGGGACGTGTCCTGAGGGGTGGCTGAACAACACCAAAGGTGGGGACATGTCCCCGAGGTGTCCCCAGGAAGGACAAATCAGTCCTGCAGGGCAAAGTGACCCAAGTGCAGATCGGGGGGTTGGGGGTCCCCAAAGGAGGGGACAAAGGGTTGGGGACATGTCCTGAGGGAGGGGACATCGGGCACAGGGTGGGGACAAGGACAGTGGGGGGACAAGGACACGGGGGGACAAGGACAGTGGGGGGACAAGGACATGGTGGGGGACAAGGACACAGGGTGAGGACATGGCAGGGGGGGGACAAGGACACGGGGGATAAGGACATGGGGGGACAAGGACACAGGGTGAGGACAAGGACACGGGGGACAAGGATACGGGGGGGACAAGGGCACAGGGGGTGACAGGGACACAAGGTGAGGACATGGAAAATGATGAAGGACAACAACCTGGTGCGGCACCTGGACGCCTGCGAGACCATGGGCAACGCCACGGCCATCTGCTCGGACAAGACGGGCACGCTGACCACCAACCGCATGACGGTGGTGCAGGCCTTCGTGGGGGGGTCCCACTTCAGCGCCCCCCCGGCGGCCGCCGCGCTGCCGCCCCCCACGCTGGAGCTGCTGGCCCAGGCCATCGCCATCAACAGCGCCTACACCAGCAAGATCCTGGTCAGGGCACTGGGAGCCACTGGGAGGGGTCTGGGGGGGATTTGGGGCAGGTTTGGGGAGATCTGGGGGCCACCCCTGCCCCGTCCCTTTACTGCCCCCCACCCCGTTGCGCAGCCCCCCGAGGCCCCCGGGGCGCTGCCCCGCCACGTGGGCAACAAGACGGAGTGTGCCCTGCTGGGGCTGGCGCTGGCGCTGGGCCGCGACCCCGAGGCCGAGCGGGCGCAGGTGCCCGAGGAGCACCTGGTCAAGGTGTTCACCTTCAACTCGGAGCGCAAATCCATGAGCACGGTGACGCGCCGGCCGGGCGGGGGGTACCGGCTGCTCTGCAAGGGCGCCTCCGAGATGGTGCTGCGCAGGTGAGGGGCACCTGGGGGCACCTGGGCACACCTGGGGACACCCCTGGGCAGGCAGGGCCATGGGTACCGGCTGCTCTGCAAGGGCGCCTCCGAGATGGTGCTGCGCAGGTGAGGGGCACCTGGGGGCACCTGGGCACACCTGGGGACACCTGGGGGCAGCTGGGCACACCTGGGCACACACCTGACACAGCTGGGGACACCTGGGCACACACCTGGGCACACACCTGGGCACACACCTGACACACCTGGGCACAGGTGGGCACACACCTGGGCAGGCAGGGCCATGGGTACCGGCTGCTCTGCAAGGGCGCCTCCGAGATGGTGCTGCGCAGGTGAGGGGCACCTGGGCACACACCTGGGCACACCTGGGGGCAGCTGGGCACACCTGGGGACACACCTGGGCAGGCAGGGCCATGGGTACCGGCTGCTCTGCAAGGGCGCCTCCGAGATGGTGCTGCGCAGGTGAGGGGCACCTGGGCACACACCTGGGCACACCTGGGGGCAGCTGGGCACACCTGGGGACACACCTGGGCAGGCAGGGCCATGGGTACCGGCTGCTCTGCAAGGGCGCCTCCGAGATGGTGCTGCGCAGGTGAGGGGCACCTGGGCACACACCTGGGCACACCTGGGGGCAGCTGGGCACACCTGGGGACACACCTGGGCAGGCAGGGCCATGGGTACCGGCTGCTCTGCAAGGGCGCCTCCGAGATGGTGCTGCGCAGGTGAGGGGCACCTGGGCACACACCTGGGCACACCTGGGGGCAGCTGGGCACACCTGGGGACACACCTGGGCAGGCAGGGCCATGGGTACCGGCTGCCGTGCAAGGGCGCCTCCGAGATGGTGCTGCGCAGGTGAGGGGGCACACACCTGGGCACACCTGGGGGCACACCTGACACACCTGGGGACACACCTGACACACCTGGGCACACCTGGGCACACACCTGGCACACCTGGGGGCACACACCTGACACACCTGGGGACACCTGGGGACACACCTGGGCAGGCAGGGCCATGGGTACCGGCTGCTCTGCAAGGGCGCCTCCGAGATGGTGCTGCGCAGGTGAGGGGGGCACACACCTGGGCACACACCTGGGCACACCTGGGCACACACCTGGGCAGGCAGGGCCATGAGCACTGGCCCGAGGGGGACTAGCTCCATCCTAGACCCAGGGGGACTCCCCTGAGCCCCCTCCCCTGCCTCACCTGTCCCCCCAGGTGCACCTCCATGCTGGATGCAGGGTGGGGGGTCCCATAACCCCCTCCCCTGACCCCCCATAGGCCCCTCCCCTGCCTCACCTGTCCCTAGGTGTACCTCGATGCTGGACATGGGGGGGGTCCCATAGCCCCCTCCCCTGACCCCTGCCTCACCTGTGCCCAGGTGCAGCTCCATGCTGGACGCGGGGTGGGGTGGGGGGTCCCATAGCCCCCTCCCCTGACCCCTGCCTCACCTGTGCCCAGGTGCAGCTCGATGCTGGACGCGGGGGGCTGCCCGCGGGCGCTGGGGGGCCCGGAGCGGGAGGAGCTGCTGCGGCGCGTGGTGGAGCCGATGGCGGCGGGGGGGCTGCGGACCCTCGCCCTCGCCTTCCGCGATTTCCCCGCCCGGCCCGAGCCCCCCTGGGACGACGAGGCCGCCGTGGTCGGGGAGCTCACCTGCATCGCCATCGTGGGCATCGAGGACCCCGTGCGGCCCGAGGTGGGCGGGGGGACACGGGGACACGGGGGGGACATCGGGGACACGGGGACATCGGGGACCCCGTGCGGTCGGGGGACACCGGGGGCAGGACGGTGGCACTGCGGGGACACCGGGGACAGGACGGGGATACACGGGGGACACCGGGGGCAGGACGGTGGCACTGCGGGGACACCGGGGACAGGACGGGGACACCCGGGGGACACCGGGGGCAGGACGGGGACAGGTGCGTGTGGCAGGTGCCCGAGGCCATCCGGAAGTGCCAGCGCGCGGGGATCACGGTGCGGATGGTGACCGGCGACAACCTGGACACGGCGCGCGCCATCGCCGCCAAGTGCGGGATCCTCCCCGCGGGCGGCGGCGGCGACTGGCTGTGCCTGGAGGGGAAGGACTTCAACCGGCGCATCCGCAACGACCGCGGCGAGGTGCACTGGGAGCACTGGGAGCACTGGGAATGGCACTGGGGACACTGGGAATGGGACTGGGGACACTGGGAATGGCACTGGGGACACTGGGGGACACTGGCTGTGCCTGGAGGGGAAGGACTTCAACCGGCGCATCCGCAACGACCGCGGAGAGGTGCACTGGGAGCACTGGGAGCACTGGGAATGGCACTGGGAGCACTGGGAGCACTGGGAATGGCACTGGGGACACTGGGAATGGCACTGGGGACACTGGGACAGGGATTGGGGACACTGGGAGGGGGACTGGGGACACTGGGACAGGGACTGGGGGGTCTCTGGGGGGTTCCTGGGGGTCTCACCCCCCCCAGGTGGAGCAGGATCACCTGGCCCAGGTGTGCGGGGATGTGCTGGGGGGGTTCAGGTGACCCTGAGGGGTCCCTGGGGGGTCTCAGGGGGTCCCTGGGAGTCTCGGGGGGTCCTTGTGAGTCTCGGGGTGTTCCCAGGGGGTGTCCCCAGGGGTCCCGGGGTGTCCCCAGGGGGGTTCCTGGGGGTCCCTGGGGGTCTCAGGGTGTCCCTGGGGGGTCCCTGAGGATCCCGGGCTGTCCCTGGGGGTCTCAGGGGGTCCCTGAGGGGTCCCTGGGGGGTCTCAGGGGGTCCCTGGGAGTCTCGGGGGGTCCTTGTGAGTCTCGGGGTGTTCCCAGGGGGTGTCCCCAGGGGTCCCGGGGTGTCCCCGGGGGGGTCCCTGGGTGTCCCGGGGGGGTCCCTGAGGGTCTCCCCCCCCAGGTGGAGCAGGAGCGCCTGGACAAGGTGTGGCCCAAGCTGAGGGTCCTGGCGCGGTCGTCGCCCACCGACAAACACACCCTGGTGAAAGGTGGGAACGTGGGGAGGGGTCCCGGGGGGTCTCAGGGGGGTCCGGGGGGGTCCCGGGGGTCTCACCCGTGCCCCCCTGCCCAGGGATCATCGACAGCACCATCGGGGACCAGCGCCAGGTCGTGGCTGTCACCGGCGATGGCACCAACGACGGCCCCGCCCTCAAGAAGGCCGACGTGGGGTTCGCCATGGTAACGCTGTCACCTTGGTGTCACCTTGGGGTCACCTTGGGGATCTACCAGGGGGTTTCTCATCCCTGTGGCCACCTTGGTGTCACCTTGGTGTCACCTGCCCGTGTCCCCAAGGGCATCGCGGGCACGGACGTGGCCAAGGAGGCCTCCGACATCCCCTCACCCACCTGGGTGTCACCTTGGTGTCACCTTGGGGATCTACCGGGGGTTTCCCCATCCCTGTGGCCACCTTGGGGTTACCCGGATGTCACCTGGGAGTCACCTGGGCATCACCTTGGTGTCACCTTGTGGATCTACCATGGGGTTCCTCATGCCTGTGGTCACCTTGGTGTCACCTTGGGGTCACCTCACCTTGGGATTTCTCATCCCTGTGGCCACCTTGGTGTCACCTGGGTGTCACCTGCGTGTGTCCCCAAGGGCATCGCGGGCACGGACGTGGCCAAGGAGGCCTCGGACATCATCCTGACGGACGACAACTTCTCGAGCATCGTCAAGGCCGTCATGTGGGGCCGCAACGTCTACGACAGCATCGCCAAGTTCCTGCAGTTCCAGCTCACCGTCAACGTGGTGGCCGTCATCGTGGCCTTCACCGGGGCCTGCATCACCCAGGTGCCTCAAAAAGGCCGACGTGGGGTTCGCCATGGTAACGCCCCCTCCCCAAATAGCGGGACCCCTCCCCAGACAGCGGGACCCCTCCCCAAATAGCGGGACCCCTCCCCAGACAGCGGGACCCCTCCCCAAATAGCGGGACCCCTCCCCAAATAGCGGGACCCCTCCTCAGATAGTGGGAGCCCTCCCCAGGTAGCAGGAACCCTCACTGAAATGGGACCCCTCCCCAAAATTGGACCCCTCCCCACAATGGATCCCATGGGACCCCTTCCCAGACAGCGGGACCCCTCCCCAAATAGCGGGACCCCTCCCCAAATAGCAGGACCCCTCACTGAAATGGGACCCCTCTCCAAAATTGGACCCCTCCCCAAAATGGGTCCCATGGGACCCCTCCCTAAAATGGGACCCTCAGGAACCCTCCTGGATTGGGACCCCCAGAACTCCTCCTCAAAATGGGATTCTGGAGACCCCCTCCCCAAATATCGTGACCCCTCCCCAAAATGAGACCCCTGCCCAAAATGGTACCCTTGAGAACCCTCCCCAAACTGGGACTCCCAGAACCCCTTCCTAAAATGGGACCCGAGACTCGCCCCGAAATTGGGACCCCTCCCCAAATTGGGACCCTCTCCCAAAATGGGGATCCCCTCCCCATCCCTGGGGTCACCTTGGGGCCCTGCCGTGGTCACCTGGGGGTCACCTTGGTGTCACTTTGGGGATCTACCAGGGGGTTTCTCATCCCTGTGGCCACCTTGGTGTCACCTGTGTGTCACCTGTGGCCACCTGCGCGTGTCCCCAAGGGCATCGCGGGCACGGACGTGGCCAAGGAGGCCTCGGACATCATCCTGACGGACGACAACTTCTCGAGCATCGTCAAGGCCGTCATGTGGGGCCGCAACGTCTACGACAGCATCGCCAAGTTCCTGCAGTTCCAGCTCACCGTCAACGTGGTGGCCGTCATCGTGGCCTTCACCGGGGCCTGCATCACCCAGGTGAGCTCACCTGGCCAGGTGGGACACGGGGTGGGGTCACCTGGCCAGGTGGGACACGGGGACAGGTGGGATTTAGCTGGGTAGGATGGTGGCCGTCATCGTGGCTGTCACTGGTACCTGCCTCACACAGGTGAGGGGTCACCTGGGCAGGTGGGGTCACCTGGGTCTGAGTCACACAGTCCCCCTGTGCCCAGCTGTCCCATCTCTCTGTCCCCACCTGTCCCATTCCTCTGAGCCACCTGTGCCCACCTGAGCTCACCTGAGCCCACCTGAGCTCACCTGCACCCACCTGAGCTCACCTGAGCCCGCCTGCGCAGGACTCTCCGCTGAAGGCGGTGCAGATGCTCTGGGTGAACCTGATCATGGACACCTTGGCCACTCTGGCCTGTGCCCACCTGAGTTCACTTGTCCCCACCTGTCCCATTCCTCTGAGGCCACCTGTGCACACCTGTACCCACCTGATCTCGCCTGCGCAGGACTCTCCGCTGAAGGCGGTGCAGATGCTCTGGGTGAACCTGATCATGGACACCTTGGCCACTCTGGCCTGTGCCCACCTGAGTTCACTTGTCCCCACCTGTCCCATTCCTCTGAGGCCACCTGTGCACACCTGTACCCACCTGATCTCACCTGCGCAGGACTCTCCGCTGAAGGCGGTGCAGATGCTCTGGGTGAACCTGATCATGGACACGCTGGCGTCGCTGGCGCTGGCCACGGAGCCGCCCACGGAGGCGCTGCTGCTGCGCCGGCCCTACGGGCGCGACCACCCGCTGGTGTCGGGCACCATGCTGCGCAACATCCTGGGCCACGCCGCCTACCAGCTGCTGGTCATCTTCACCCTGCTCTTCGCCGGTCAGTGACACGGACAGGGGACAGGGGACAGCGTGGGAGGGGTCCCACAGGTGACAGGAACCCATGGGAACCCATGGGGACACAGTGGGACATGGTGGGACACGGTGGGACATGGTGTGACACATGCCCTCCCAGCTGCTGGTCATCTTCACCCTGCTCTTCGCCGGTCAGTCACGGGGAGAGGGGACACCATGGGAGTGATGGGAACCCATGGGAACCCATGGGGACCCATGGGGACACAGTGGGGACATGGTGGGACACGGTGGGACATGATGGGACATGGGGGGACATGGTGGGACACAGCGGGACATGGTGGGACACATCCCCTCCCAGCTGCTGGTCATCTTCACCCTGCTCTTCGCCGGTCAGTGACACTGGGGACAGCACGGGAGGGGTCCCACAGGTGGTGGGAACCTATGGGAACCCATGGGGACACAGTGGGGAC